AGCATGATGCAATATAGTTTTTTGCACTGTCCCATTATTGTAATTAATCTATTCGATATCTATCTATGGCAATATATGTAGCAAAATGAGGTATCAAGATTCATTTTGAATATGATGAACAACCAGCCAATGCTCTTTTAAATTTGCAACAGAAAAAAATATTACATTTTTAGAGAACTTTCTTGGTAATGGCTTTTTTCTCGATTTAAATTGCTTTTAGTAGTTCTTTATAAGAATAAAGATGCAAAGAAGTAATTGTTTTTTTAATTAAAATACTCAAAGAAGTTTTCTGCTTGTTTACATATAGATCCATTATTTCTATATTTTATAAGTTTGTACATATGTAGACTTAATTTTTTTCTCTTTAAGGCTTGATAGATGCTGCTGTTTGCCACCTTGCTAAAACATGTTGTTGAAATATACCAGTTAATAACATATATATATATATATATATATATATATTACATACACATACATATGCACACACAAAATAAAATTGCAATACCCTGAATGTGTTTTAATAGTACAGTTAATGTAACTTGATTACAGTAAATGCTCACATATGCAGATCAATACATGCACAGGTTCCAAAATAAGATGTATCAACAATATTCTTGCATTAATACACCATATATACTCTTTGGGCATTAACATAAGACTATACTCTTGCATGCATACAATCATACAGATGGCATATACCATTTTGCAATACATTATTTCATACTTCTTGCACTTGTTTACACAATACAGCAAGAGGGTGTGCTAACAGAAGTCAGGCATCATCATCTGTCCCATATATGTTCATGCCAGTAGAGAAGTTGAAATATATTGGAGAGCATATAGAGTAACACAAGCATCATGTGTTCAGGCATTATCCTGTTTGAAGAACTGTGCATTTTCAAGTTACAAGAATGGCAAAAAAATGAGTTGAACAAGGTTTTGGAATATACATTTCACTTTTCAGTATTCACTCTACAAACACAAAAAATAAGTAAGTGTTGTAAGTTATGGCACTTCACATCATGGTATCAAGGGTTTGGCTTATATGTCATAAGTGAATACACTCTAGAATATGATACTCTCCAGATCTGTCTCGCATGCAAACAACCTGCTCATGGCATAACCTGCTCTCATCATTGAACATTACAGACCACCAATTGATTCCCCAGGTGAGCTTCACCTGATGATATGAATGATTGTATTAAAGCATAAATGGAAGTCTGGCTACTGTAGGTAAAAATTCCAAATGATTGATACTGATCAGTAATGTGGATGTCCTGCATTCTTCAACTTCTTCCCTTACAATGTGTTGCTCTTGGCATTTACGTGTATATTTAACTACTGTTGTCAACATTGCAACACCACTATCATGCAGTACTCAACAAGTATATCAATTCTTCTAAAATTACCATGCAGTTTTTTGATTGGCCCATAATCACACCCTCTGAATCAACCCTAACTGAATTAAAGGAACATGTATATATCTTCCTGATATGACATCTACTTGCACTGGTCTCTTTCACTACACTGAATCTTATTGTAGCATGTGTCACCATCTGAAGCTCAGCAAAGATGGTGCATTGATATGAGTGCTACTACATTTCAAGTCACTCAAAAGTTTGAAAATTTTGTCAGAATATTTAATCTCTCCTGGCATAAATATACTATATCCAAGTCAAAATCACTATTGGCCTTCAGGGTGTTGCAATTTTATTTTCTGTTAGCATGTGTGTGTGTAGGCATATATATACACAATGTAACCGTTGTGCTTTGCTCTTGTTGACTTTATCCTGTTCTCTATCTTTGTTTTTTTTTTTTTTTTTTTTCTCTATTTAGCCCCAGCCCATTACTAACTTTTTCAGCTTGTCATCTACTTATGTGGAAAATTATCAAGTTGTTAACAGCATGACCATTCTGTGTTGTTATTTTTAAGCCTCCACCCTGTTGTTTCTTTTTTTTTTTTTTTTTTTTTTTTTTTTTTTTTCCACCCCATATCCGATGAAGCACTTTCAATCAGCTGAATTATTACAGGAAACTTTTAGGAATTTCTTCAGTCACACTCATTTTTCTTTTTAGAGTTTTGTTTTTATCAGTATATTCTTTCATATTTACATTATATGTCGGAAGAATTTTGAATGGGCCAGAGCAAATAACCATATCATTTTAAAACAGAAGACAATCTGGGTGGAAACATGGGTAATCAATATTTAAAAAAATACTAATATCTAAATTGAGACACCTATTTTTACAAAGGATGATATAAAATCTATATCTCATTTTCATATTATAAAACTTACTTTGTGAAAAGGTATAAAAAATGAGCTTTGAATGACTTAAACTGATATCACATTTGATTCAGAATATTAAAGTGTTAATGACATTTAAAAAAATTTACTTTCACAAAGCAAAATGGAAGCAATGATTTGTAATAGTCATTCAAATCATTTTATATTTTTGTAAGCATTAATTAGTGGCTTTATTAAGGTTTTTTTTTCTGTTAATATTTCTTCATGAGAGTAAACTTGCTTATTTATTTTTGCTCATTTGTCCAAATGCTAATCATTAAAATTGTATTGATATTAATTTAAGTTAAATGCATAAAGTACTTTTCATTATGACCTATATTGGAAAGAATTTGTTCTAGAAATATCAGTTTCTGTTATGTATAATTTTACTAAAATTCAGTAATTTGATTGTAGTGATATCTTCAGCTTAAATATATATTTTTTATTTTGTTGATATCCATATTCTTTGATTATCTTTGGCTACAACATAACACTGAATCTAGGGTTCAAAATAGAGATGGACATCTTGAAAATTTAATAAGGTTCAAATAAGTTTCATGAGTTCCACCTCTAAACAGAACACTAAGTTCAGAATGTCTATGTATATTTGATGACAATCTGAGGGAATATCAAAATATATAAATTACTTCAATGAACATGTTGTTCTCATTGAGTTGTAATTTCATCACTTAAATCCAAATATTTTTTCTTCATGATTTTATTCTTCATTCATTCCCTGTCAGTGTGTGTGCACCTATGTCTGTTTGTCTGTGCATTTATTTGGAATGCCAACATCAAGCAGTCCTGTGCATGGTGGGACGCATCTTGATTGTGTCTTGGTTAGTAGTCATTAGATTTGATGATGATGCCTGCCTTATTACGTGTTTTTTGTGTTCTTGTTGTATTCTACCAGATTTCTTTTTCAACTTTTTGTTAAATTACTCATAATTTGTTCTTGCTAATTGTTTGTATATCAATTTTTTTTCTGAGTCTGTTCTTTTTCTTTAGGTTTTAATTTTTCAATTGAAAGAGCAAATTTAAAATATTTATTATTACATTATAATTTCTGGATTATTGGTATTTTGAATAATTTTGGAGATTTCTGCCAATGTTAAATTATCATTTATGTAATAATATTACAATTAACTTAAATTCTATTTAATCTTGTGTTGGCTTTGACTGGTCATGAATGTTCCTCTGGCAAAGCAGTGATTAAACATTGAATTTAACTACATATACTGATGTGTCAAAAGTCATAGGTTAGAAGTATGTAATGGTAGGTGGCGCTATTGTACCATGGAAATGCCCTGACCTCTATCAAGTCAGTGGGAACAACAGTTAAACAGTTCATGACACAACAATATGAATAATTGGAGTTTGAATGGGACACGATAATGAGTGACGGACAGATAGGATATTCCATTTCTGAAAATGTGGGAGCATTTATTCGACATAGCCTTGATTTACAGTGTCACTTGGAATACCTAATTAAATGCATTACCATCCACTGTGGGAAGTGCAGTAGCTGATCACAGGTCCTTAATGATCATAACCAGAGGTGTCTAGCTAAAATTATCTATAGACAAATGACACAGGTTCAAGTAACTTCCACATTCAATGCAAGTGATAGCAGATGCATATTCAGCAGGTCAATTCAGTATTCTTAGCTTCTATAGGATATAGGAACAAAAGACCCTCTGTTAACCCTGTTAACATCATGACTCCAGATACTATGACTCAACTGGGCTTATGGCATCACTAATTGGATACTGGAGGACTGCTAGCATGTGGAATAGTTTTATGATGGTAGGGTTATGGTGTGCTTCAGACCCTCATAAAACCATGGACCCCAGTTGTCACCAAGGCAGGCTGTTGGTGGATCAATAATAGTATGGAGTATATTCATGTAGCATGTTTTGGTTCTGGCAGTCTGTTTAAACAAGTCATTGGCTAGTAATGGCTATGCTGCACTATTTCATGACCATTTGCATTTATTCATGAATTCCATGTATCTAAACAATGATAGGTTAATAATAAACAGGATAATGCACTGTCATTAGGCCCAAATAACAGACTTCTGTCAAATGGTGTGGCTACTATGTTTACTTGAAATGGGGCAAATCAAGCATTTATGGAACATGATGGAAAGGTCTATTGACCTGCAAGATCCTGCCGCTGCAAATATTGGGTAGCTGTGGACAGACAGCTGTCGAGATGACATCTCAACATTTCTCCAAAGGTCTTTTGACCATTTCAGGCTTTTGACATGTCAGTGTAATTTGCATTTAATTTTTCTGAGAAATCTTCAATTTTAGTCAAATTGAGTTATTTTTTTATAAATCATTTAGATTGCAATTTATAAAATTTATAATTAGTTATTTTCTTTGTAAAAATAGGGCTTTTATATCTAATTTTTTTAAAGATTTAAAGGTAATATTTTATATTACTGTACTTTTTTTTTTCTTTTCTTTTTTACAAAAATGTTGAAATATGTTTAAACTTGTTTTAGAGTGTGAGAGGTGAAATAGTTGTAGCTTTTATGAGTGAAAATAGAAAAAAAAGCTTTAATAGAAAATGAGAAATTAGCTAATAAAGTTAAGTCAAAAATTTAGGCTTGGGAATAAATTTTAAATTATTTTTTCAACTTTTTTTCATTTTATTTCTTTTTCATTCTCTGTACACTATCATGTTTTTGTTTGTTTATTTTCTTTGCAGGCAATTTACATTTCCCGTATTGTGGAAGGAGCTGCTGCTCATAGAGATGGAAAATTGTTGGTTGGAGATAGAATTATTTCAGTTAGTAACAACATTCTCAATTTTATACACTTGTATAATATTATCTTGTATGAATGTTAAAATTTACATATAAATACAGATTAACAATGTATATAAATGGTAAAATATATAGCTCAGAATATACATTGCTGATGACTGGATCTTAATGTTTGACATAAATTTTTTTTTTCTTTTGTTGCCAATCTGCAGTACAATACAATTTATATACAGAACAATTGTACTTCTAATGTACAGCTGTTGATTAGCTATAAAAAAACTCTAGTTTTGTTAAAGATGACTACTGCTAATTTGCAAATTATTTTGATTGCTCTGAGTTCAACCATTTTATTTTTAAATATTTTGATTAATTTCATGAAATTCAGTTCCCAATCAAAAGAATATTGTTAGGACTTCCTTTTTTTATTTACTTAGTGTATATATTATTTCTTTAAAAAATACATTGGTTGTTAGAATATAAATGAAAATCTTGAGTTATTTTCAATTTGAATGAATATTAACTAACCTACCTATTTATTGACTTTGCTTCTTTGTTTTGCATAATAACACCATTAACAAATTGTTTAAAAATCTTTTTCTTCAGATCAATGGTGTTGATATGCAAGATGCACGTCATGACCAAGCTGTATCATTATTAACTGGAATAGACAAAGAGATTAAGCTTGTGGTATATCGTGAACGCCTGGTTCCCAAAGATGCCAGCAACAATCTTGAAGCTCCTAACATGCAAAAATTGCCTCACATGACTCAGCCTCGCATTACCTGGACGAATAAGCCACCTGATGCATCTGTGCCAACACTCTCCAATATGACTCTTAATCAACCAAATGTTTCTGCAGATTCTGTTGGCTATAACACAGAAGTTCCCATCACATATACACATTTACTGAAGCCTTCTGCAGCTCCTACATCAGTTTCGAGCAGTTTACAGACTTCTCCTGCACTACAAATTGTCAGAAACCAATCACATTCACCTAACATTTCCTCTGCTAGTACATCACCATCTTTTCGGACTTTGTCATCAGACTGGTCAACTCCGGCACCAACAATTCAGCCACCCCGCTTTCATTATCCAGGTTTTAATAAGTCTCCTACAGCGTCCACAAAATCCACTTCAAATGAACAAAGAGACCCCACTACTCAAGCCAGAGCATCTCCTGTTGGTTCTTACCAATCCCCTCTACGAAATAAACCCCATATTGACTCTAGACCTCCTGTCAGTGGCAGTGGTGTATCTATCACTACTAACACCACTGTACCTTCTGTGTCAGGGACAAACTCTACACCATTGCTACCTAAAGCCAATATGAACCATGATGATTTGCATGCTTATCCCGTAGAGGTAAGTTTATCTGGATATGAAATCCCATCTTGACACTTTGGTGAAAGAAAAAAACAGGGTGCACGCTGAATGCTTTGGGCAGCGGTCTTTTATAGTATGTTTTTTAATTTCATTTTTTTCTTTTTTAATAATTTGAAGAAAGAAAAAAAATTTAAACAAAAAGAAAAATGAAGACACTATCCAGTTTTCTCACTCCTTTTTATCCCAAAGTAAAAATTTATATTTTATTTTTTATTTCCTCTTAATTCTTTCTGTCATCCCGTACGAAAAATTCTATATTTTCTCCCATGTATAGTTCACAGTTAATTTAAAATGCAAATTATTTTTTTGTTACTCCCCTTTCACTCTTTTATATATATATATATATATATATATATATATATATATATATATATATATATACACACACCCCCCACCCACCTATCTCTGCTGTAAATTGTCATTCATTTTCAATTTTAATTTTCAATCTTAATTGTCATTAATAATGAAACTTCCTGGGAGGTTCACTATGTCTTTCTTTTTATAAACCATTTGTAATCTTTCTTTTTATTTTCTTAAGTAACCCCCATTTCATTGCTAACATCTTTCTTTTCTGAAATGAAATTATTATTTTTTAATTTTACTATGCATTTTTTTTTTTTATATATATATAAAAATGTTAAAAAAAAAAAATACAAATAAAAGCTCAAATTTCTCCCTTTTTCGTTCGTTTTTGCTCCTAAAATGTCTTTTTTTCCCCCCCTAGTGTTTGCAACAATTTCTTCCACTGTTGTCCACTTTCTTCTGTCCATACTTAGAATATTGAAAAGTTTTCTATTTTACATTTTTTCTTCCTATTTGGTTTAGGAGGGTGTCTTCATTTATTAATATTTCATTTCCTCACCCACCCTTATCTCTTGATGTGTGTGTTTGTGCACCTGTCACTGATGAGCTTAAGAATGAGATATATAAAATCTATGACTGCTTGCTTTATTAGGATATCTGTCCCGGTGCTCTATTTTTTCCCCCAAAGCACATCATCTGTGAGAAGACAAGGGACTTCAGGGGAGGTAACTGCTTACCATTTTGAAAATTAACATTAGAAACTTTCCATGTTTTCATCTATCTTCATCTGTCTTATTCCATCATTTTGCTAATCCAGTAAAGTTGAGTTTTAAAGGACTAATGAAAATGGGAAATTTCTGATAGTTTTATAATTCATGACTTATGAAATATGATTTAAATTTTTTTTAAAATCTAGAAAATATTAGAAAACCCTAAACTGAAAGCAGTAAATGGTTATAACTCAAGGCATGGTTGGTTTAATATGGATAATTTATTTTCCTTTATTCTTTAATTTTTTATATTATTTAAAGTGGGGGCATGATTAGTTTGTTTATTTCTCAAGAGAAAATTGGTACAAAAACAAACAAAAATGTTAGGTAAACAAAAAAGTATTTTATTTCAGTTTTTTAATCACATTATTCTTAGTTCAATGATGATATAACCTTACAGTTTAATACAGTGGAGAGTTTGTCATCCTGTCTGGCTCTTGAAAATGTTTCTTAAATCAGCTTGTTTAAGCTAAAAAAAAAAAAAAAAGTGGCATGTTCAGATTTTGTGCTTAATACAGTCAGTTCATGTTCTGATAATATCTGCAGTGCCCATGATAAAGCTATAACTGCAATTAAAAGAATAGTTTCTTTCAATTATTGTCAGTTTTTTCTTTGCTTCATCATTTTTTTTTAGATGGAATAGCATGATTTACAAGATATTGATAAGCCAGGATTTTTCTCCATTGTATTATAATTTAGTGTACTACTTTTTCTTGAAACACTCCCTAAAAAGTCCCAGCTCACAATCAAATAATTACATTTCCCATTTTACACTGATGACTACATTTATTATTTATCTAAGTAGCTGAAATCTGTACTTATTGATAGTTTTGATTTTCAGCTTCTTGTGCATACTTTTCCTAATGTCTAAATCCCATAATAATGCAAATTCTTGGGGTTGGAGATATAAACCCCAATCAAAATGTCTTGCAAACCACAATAATTCTCCTAGCCAGGAGTGCTACTACTTTTATACACAAGAATTTTCCATTATATATGCATTAATAAAAATGAAAACACCTGAAGTATTTGTGGAAGAACTTTTGTGGATGCTGTTTAGCATTTTTTCATAAAGGCATTTGGAGTACCAGGCAAAACTAATATACTTTTGGACTTCATAAAAGTTGCTTTCTCATTTTAATGAGTAGAATAAATAGCGGGTACATATTGAAAGATTTTCAAAATAATGATCTGATAACAGTTGCTTTTAGTTATATAATTTTTTTTTTTTTTTTTTTAAATGTTTAACTAAAAAATGTGTATTTTTAAATATTTGCTAATTCTTTCAAAGGTAAAATTTTAATTATCAAATTATAAAGCAAATTTAGATATAATTATTTTTTAGATCATCTTTTCCTATCATTCTTATTTTCTTTTATCGCTATATTGGGAATACTTAAAATATTGGAGGTTGTCTGTTCTAATTAGTTTAAAATTTGAAAATATTTTTACATGTAAGATATTGTAGGAATTTCACCAAGAAAATATTGCAACTGTTTTACAGGAAATTGTGTATAAAGTGTTCACTGTAAGATCTCTTTATTTTATAAGAATGATAAATAGTTCAAATTATCAACATCATAGCAAAAATGTAAATAATAATAAGTTGGGTCAAATTGGATGTTTCATGTTTGGATATTTTTTCATCTCTTTCAAACCAAACTTTCATCACTACATACTTTCCTAATTTATTTCCTCTTGCATTCTCTTAATATCTAATATTCTTGGGGTTCAAAATTGTTTGAAAATACTGATTTTAAGTTACTCAAAACATGAAAGCCTTTTGCTGTGGCAATTTCATATAAAAATAGCAAGGAACTTTTCAAAATCAATACAGCCATTTTCAAAAATTGAGCTCCCAATTTCTGGCACACACAAGATCCCTTTTTCTTTTTCTTTTTTTGTCATGTTCATTTATGTACATTTTTCACAATTTATGCTGATAAGATATGTGGAAATTTTCTTTTTTTTTAAATCCTAATATTTTTTCCAACAAGTAATGCCAATTGATGAAATATCCAGATAACTGCTGATAAATTTTAACTTTCCTATGTTGCTTACTAATTGTTACAGTAGGCAAGAGAAAGTTTTTTTCCCTTGTGGAAATGTATTAGTTTCTTTTGGCTGTTTTTGCAATCATTTAAAAAATCTATAAAAACATCTAAACCATTTTCCTTAATTTTTTTTTTTTAATTTTTTTTGGATTATAGTCATTTTGGTTAGTTTTGGAAGAGGTGTCTTTAAACTCATAATTGATATATTTTAATTTCATTTGATAATTATATTTCCTGATGTAATACCTTATTTTTGCATTTGCTTTAAGTATTTGGATTTCCTTTTAAGTGTTTTCTGTTAAACTTTTTTATTAATACAAGAATGAATTGGTTAAAAAGGATTTATTATCTGACCTATTTTAAACTTTTAACATTTAAGTCTTTTTAAGATGTCAAAAACATTGAAACACTGCCCAGATGAGATTTCATTAAACTGAAAATAGATTTTAAAAATGCCTGGGTAACATTAAAAATCCAAGTTAAATTTATTATACTAGAAATTTCCTTTGTGCAAGTGTGTTAAACAAATATTGTGAACTGTACTGGTAGTCTTTTGAAAGCTTAGATCATTTTTTAAATTTCTTTTTTTCTTTTTCTTTTTTCTTTTGTTTTTGTATTTTCTGCTACCTCAAAAGACTAAATGTTGAATTTATGAATATAAGTTTAGTAAAAAAAATAGTATTTTAGTAGTAATTTTTAATGTTGTCTTTTTAAATAAGGCATTTTTGAGCAAGTGACACTGTCACAAATAACAGCTTAATTATTTGTAAAGTTCAACTTTTTGTTGTCATGCACTAATTCATGTAGATATTTTTCAAATACATGGTGATAAATATTGGAAGTGAACCCATGAACAACCATTTGTTCGAACACTCACCCCCCATTTCTCTCATATTCACATAAGTTTTAAAAAATATACATAGATTAACGGGACAATTGATGTTAATCTGTAGATATTTTTCAGTCCAGTTGATGTCATTAAATCATTTAATGGTACTAAGTGTCCTAATTTGGGATTTTCTTTTTAACAAAGGGCTCATACTTTCACTTTGCTTGAAATTCACTTTCAAAATCAAAGCCAAAATTTGAGGGGAGATTAATCATATTTTTTTTGTCTACAAACTCATTTTAAAACTTATATTTGCAAATGATTTTTTGTCTCCTCTCTTTTTTAGTCTTAGAGATTTGTCTATCATAAAGTTACTTGCTTTATTTCTCTAGTTTTCAATGTATTACTATTTAAAAGTTTAGATAAAATGTATAAATATTATTCTTTCAAAGTTTTGCAGAAGATTTAAGTTTAAACAAATTACTAAGATTAATGCAATTTTTCTTTAAAATACCATTTGAAAATACATTTGGTCAAATGAATCCAGTTTTGTTTACTAACAAAAGTTCATTATTAAACTTTTGTTAAATTTGCAGTCCTTTTAAGTTTCAATTTTCCTAAGTTAAGCTCTGTATTTGTATGACTACAAGATTCTTTCTAAAAATATTTTGTTGATAGTTTTATGAATTTGGTGAAATCATATCAGTTCCTCACTGGTTTTGTTATGTCATATCTAAGTCATAACTCGGTCACTTCTGAAGAAATGTTATTTTTATAGAACAAACAGGATAATTTACTTCAATATGAACTAAAATAATATTTGTGTATTTAATTGATTTAGAAGCTCTTTTCATTAAACAAAAGGAATATACAATACTGAATACAAATTTTAGGCAAGTTCATCAAAGGTTTCTTTCCATGATTTCTGCTGACAGCTCAGTAAAATGCATCTTGTATGTTGTAGAATGTGATCATTTTTCTAATTCTTTGTACATCTTTCATTAGAGAATATTAATTTAAATG